AATGTCCTGGGGTTTGTGGGTTTTGACCATAACCCTGTTACATAAAATTATTTCTTTATTTCTTTCCATTCCAATGTGCTATCAATCTACCTGTCTCTTTTTGAAACTCCTTTAGGTTTCACAAAAGGAAACAATACTCCAAATTTGTTTCTATTGGCTCCGGCCTTTACAGTGAGCATAAAGGACTAGTTGTTCCAAAATAAGCCACTGTGAGAGAATTTATCCCTATGTCGGTAATAAAAATATTCTATTTTCTTCATCCCTTCCCCCGCTCTCCATGTATTCTTCCTGTCAGATGGCTTCCCCTGAATCAAACCTAAAAAATGCTCTGTTTCTCCAAATGCATAAGAATGGCATACAGCGTCTGAGTGTAGACCATGTCTGCTTCATTCCAGGTGTCTCACATCTGGTACTGATCCTGCAGTGACCACTGTAATAAAACAGGAAGAGCCACTGCCTGGCTTTCATTCTAATCATTCTCTAAAGAGCTCAATGAAAACTTGGACTAGGAATATGAAAGATGCAGTTTTCAGGGAGAAGACTTAAATGAGGAGGCAGTTTGAAAAAGAGCAACAAACATCACAGCTCAGGACATTAAATACCACAACAGGGCTTCATCTCCTTGGCATCGCAGACTGTCATCCATTTTTTATCTTACATGGAAAACATTATCCTTCATTGGTCACACTGTTAAACCAAAAAAACTCATGTGTAGGTAGAGATACAGATACAATTTTACTTTTTGTTTTTAAGTCTGGGAGGGGCGAGAATAGCTAAGCTACTTGTACTGAAAAACAGATGAGCACTTGGAGGACACCCATGACTCCTGACATAAGCAAAATTTCCTAAGGTCAGTCACTCTAGACAATAGAAAGGTGGTAAATGGCACATTATAACAGCTGTGATGGAGTCAGATGCTTTAATTTACAGCAAGTCCACAGCCTTGACAAACACTACTGAATTCCAAACCCCCATAAAAAATAAGGCCATACCCCTAGAGTTCACCAAGAATCAAAGGCAGTGTTATTTTCACTTCTCTCCACCCCTTTCATTCTTAAGCAGCACAACATGGAGGAAAGAAAGGAACTAAAGCAAGGACATGGCAAAGATACAGTTGTACCTTCCAAATGAGCCCTGATGTGCCAAATTATAGTTTTAGATAGGTTCCTACCCCGACCCAAGTTTACCAAATCCTTAAAATATTATCGCTTTAATATGACTAAAAATAAAACTTTAAAAATAACTTTCTACAATTCTTTTCACGTTACTCAGCATTTAACTCTCGAGTTTGATGACTTCCAAATCTCTTTTTGGACACAACTGCCCCACAACAAAAGTACAAGCTTTCAGTGCTTTCAAACCAACTGGTATCGATATATATAAGTGCAAAACACTGATCAGTCATAAATGAGACTACAGAGGCAATATGGCTGAAGAAGATGATTCAGTAAAACAAGGGTTACAGTAACAGGATAATGATTGAATGGGTAGATATAAAGCAACTTCAAACAGCTTGCCAAAGGAAAGCCTCATTTTTCCATTTTCTTGTGCAGTATCTAATTTCTGGCTCCTCATTTCCTCCGTGATCTGATAATTTTGAATTCTAAATAAAGTGTCATCTTTCTTGCAACAAATCAATGAACAGAAAACACCCATCCACAATGCAGATGTTTCCTAAAGCTTCTGCTGATGATTTCCTGAATGTCTATCCCACAAACCACACAGCAAGTTCTTTAAGAACAAGGAAACTTCTCTACACCATAACAAACATAGCTTCTATGTGTGTGTGCATGAGTGTGTGTGTGTGTGTGTGTATACATTTTAAAAAAAGAGGACTAAGAAGTAATACGCAACTGATAACAATGAGTCACCACAAAATTGCCTTTTGTTACCAATTTCAGGTTGAAATTTAGCCCTTTCCAAATGCTGTGGTACAAACATATGAAAAGAAAATTCCTACTCATTGTATATTTGTCCCTACAGATACAGTAAAATTGTTTTTGTATTCCTTATAACAGATTTATACCAATAGCACCCCCATATACACAATTATATTTTGGGCATCCCTCTCCCTATAATACAATTTAAAATAATTCCACCTGTGTTCCTCCTGCTAGCCTTATAATAATCCTATAATATAAAGATCAGTTTTGTATTATTAAAAAATAAAAAATTCTATGGGTTACTAAGTAAGCCTTCAGGGTCACAACGAAGCCTGAGCTTATCTACTAATAAAGTAACATACAACAAAGTTAGTTTTTAAACACTCTTCCAGCCTACCAAAAATTATAGATGTTCTCACTTTTGCAAAAACCTCCCATCTTCTGTATTCAGTTTGTTTCAATTATTCAGGGCAACCCAGGCTGATAATTACACAGTCCCCAGTTGCTGAGTAAAAGTGATGCTTAATTAGCCAGCAGGAAAGATCGATTAAGATCCAGCAGGGCATCTTGTGAGGTTCTCTCACATTCCTGGAGGGAATAGATTCTGGCTGTGCCCTTTGAAAGGATAAAATTCCCTGCTTCTAAAGAGTTTCAGTGAGGTTTCTTAAGTGGATACTAAGATCGGTCAGCCACACGAATTAATTCCCAGTTATAAACCTGCAGATGCTCTCCCTTTTCTAAGAGAACTCGGTTCAAACATTCTGAATCACATTGCTATGGCGTTGGAAAAGGCTTAAAGTAGTATTCACTGATCCCCAACTTTCATTTAGTTACCACATTTTTAGTAAGAAGTGGTTGAGAAATATATTGTAAAGGAATTTTTCACTTCTTTCTCCCCCACACAGGTGTATGCATTTGTCAGATGCTCACATTCTAAAAGTCACAAATTAAGTCAGGACCTTTTTTAAAAAAAGAGAAACTTAAAGAGCACGATATCCAAACCCAATCTGATTCCAATATGGTCAAAGAATCAGTCTAGGTTAAGTTTTCTATTAGGAAAGGAGATGTGGAAATAAAACTAGGACAAAAAGTCACAATGAAAATTAATGACCTCACACTGCCTATCGTCTTCCCTTTAGTAACCTGGATAAGCATAAATGTTTAGCTTTTCACACATTTTGCAAAAGTGTTCAATAAAGACCAACATAACAATCCAAAGCTAAAAGTAGAATAATTATCTTAAGATATGTAATTATCAAAATATTTACATTCTGGTAAACTACATAACTATGCCTGCCTACCTCCAATCCAATGCAGAAAATATTTATTAAGCCTCTACCTAGTATAAAAAACTCTGATAAGTATGTCTTACCTTGTTAATTTATACAGTATTAAAGTAGACTTTACTAATTATAAATTGTTTTAAGGCTTAGGAAGAAGAATAATCGAACCATTTGTACAAACCTAGTTTTGATTTGCTGAAAGCCCCGAAGAATGTGGTCTCTGTGGTCCCTGGCAACAGCACTGAGGTTCTCATTCCTCAAACCTTCCGCCAGAAACTCCTCAGCATCTAAAAGAAAAGAAAAGTTGATCAGCAGAAAAGATGTACTGAGGGAGAAAGAGGAAGATCTGAAGAATTAAAAAATAAATATTATTTTCTCTTTAAAAACTTTAAATTTGCAGAACAATGTGAACGTACTTAATGCCACAGACCTGTCCACTTAATAATGGTTAAAATGGTAAATTTTATGTTATGTATATTTTACCAGAATAAAAAATAAATAAAACTTTACATATGCCTATAAGTGATACTTTTCGATAATCTAAGAACTCGTTTTGAATTTAGAATGCATATATTAAAACAAGAAAAAACTATTTCCTAAACCATTTTAAAGAAAATTTAAATAGGAATTACCACTGATGGCAGAGGATGGACTGTCATTTTCATAAACATATAAATATTACAAGCACTTCGTAAAAGGTCACAGGTCAATAGAAGCTAGAAATACCAATAAACAGAGCTGAAATAAAAAATAGAGCTAACCTGTAAAATCAAGAACAAAAAGGACAGGCATTAAAGAAGAAAAATTAATCAACAGATGCATCATCAATGAAAATGACAATGAAACCAAGTAAAGGAACCCACATGAAAAAGAAAAATGTGTCCAAGAGAAGGAAACTGCAATTAATGTGAGCATAGATTATAAAATAGGGATATGAAACAAATATATAATATGAAACAAATCATGTTATGTTGAAAGAAACTGGGAAGGGGGACCTACAAATTTTCAAAGACAAAATACTGTGATAATGATTACAATTGCTAGAAATACTAGCTACATGCTTTATTATGCATAAAAGGGTTATCATCCCTAAAAAGTATATAAATAATATAGTTAAAAATTTTCACCTCTAAAAATAGTGCCTGTAATATGAAACTGTATCATATATACTATCAAAATAAGGTTATAAATTTATACAGTTGGGTTACATAAGCATGCTTAAAATTTTGTTTTATACTCAGAGCTTTCAGCGACACCAAACAAAAAATCCTAGATTGCCATCACCAAGACTTTTGATGAGGATACAGGATTTATATACAAAAATCAACTGTATGTCTATATAGTAGCAATGAAGATACTAAAAATAAAATTAGAAAAGTTGCATTTAAGGTAGCACAAAATAGAGTTAAACACATAGGAATATATTTAACAAAAGAAGCATAGAACTTAAACTCTGAAAACTGCAAAATATTGTTGAAAACGTTAAAGCCTTAAATGGAAAGGCAGCTCATGTTCACAGATGAGAAGACTTACTATTGTTAAAATACAAGTATTCCCCAAATTGATTCAAAGATTCAAAGCAATCCCTATCAAAATCTGACCTGGCTTTTTTCTAGAAATTGACAAGCTGATCCTAAAATTCATTTGGAAAGTCAAGGGACCCAGAATAGCCAAAGCAATTTTGAAGGGAAAAAAAATCTGGAGGACTCACATATTTCATTTCAAAATTTACTACAAAGCTGTGGAAATCAAGACAATATGGTACTGGTGTAAAGATAGACATACAGATTAAAAGAATAGAATTAAGAATTTAGAAATAAACCATCACATTTATTAACTTTTGACAAGGATACCAAGACAATTCAATGGGAAAGAATAGTTTTTTTTAACAAATGGTGCTAAAACAACAATATCCACATGCACTACAATAAAGTTGAACTCAAACAATATACAAAAATTAACCGAACCAAAGACCTAAATGTAAAAGCTAAAACTGTAGTACTCCTAGAAGAAAACAGGTGTAAATCCTTGTGACCTTGGATTAAACAATAGTTTCTTAGATATAACATCAAAGAATAAGCAACAAAAGAAAAAATAAATTGCTTATCAGCAAAATTAAAAACACTGTGCTTCAAAGGATGCCATCAGAAAGTAAAAAGACAGCTGATAGAATGAGAGAAAAATTTTGCAAATCATATAGCTGATGAGATTTATATGTAAAATATACAAAAAACTCTTACAATTCAATAATAAAAAGACAAATAATCCAGTTTAAAAATGAACAAAGGATATGAATAGACATTTATCTGAAGAAGGAATACAAATGGCCAATAAGCACATTAAAAGATGCTCAACATCAACAGTCATCAAATAGCCATACAAATTAAAACCACAATGAGATACCTTTCACACCTGGGAGGATAGCTACAGTCAAAAACTGGACAATAATGAGTTCCAATCAAGACGGTGGAATAGGTAAATGCTGTGCTAGCATCCTCCCACAACCATATCAAAATTACAAAATTACAGAACAACCATCTTTAAGAATCGCCTGAAATCTAGCTGAATGGAAGTCCTATAATTAAGGATATACAGAAGCCACATTGAGATTGGCAGGAGGGGCAGAGACAAGGAAAGGGCTGGGCCCATATTCACGTGTGGCAGTTAAAAATCAAGAGAGAGATCTCTGCTGAAGAGGTCCTCACCAAGGAGCAGAGGGTTGCAACCCCACACCAGGCTCCAGATCTGAGAAGAGAAGTCCCCATAACTTCTGGCTGTAAAAACCAGTGGGGATTGTGGCTGAATGAGATGGAGGGCTACTGAAGTCCCAGGAATTCCTCCTACAGGGCCAGTACACAGAATAACTCACTGATGGACTCATTTGCTCTGAGCCCCGGCACTGGGGCAGCAGCTCAAAAGATGCCAGAGACATACAAATAAGAGCTGAATTGTCTGGCTTCAGGGCAAGAGCTGGAGGGCCGGCTTTCTTCCAGCCAGAAGTGCTGGCAGAAGCCATTGTTCCTTTGTTGAATCCTCCACCCCTGCCTCGACCCAGCCTCTACATGAAGGCAGCCATCATATCTGAGTCTCTACCAAACTAGCTAATGCCATTCACCCTGCTCTGGTGATTTTCTGAGACCCTGCCCCATCCAACTTGTGGGCCCACCCAAGCTGCTTCTATTGGCTTTTCCATACAAGCAGCCTGTCTTGGCTCATGTTTCAGACTTTCCTAAAATCTCTCAAAGGTTCACAAATCCCAAACAAGCAGCATCTGGTCTCAGTATGTCCCATACCACTTGCTGAGCAGCCCCAAGCCCAGCACTAGCAGCAGACGGCCTCAGTTCGTAGCTTAGCTTTTCCCAGGCACCACCAACCCCAACACAAGTGGCATCAATCTGAAGATTACTTTGTAGCTCACAGTGAGTGGCCCCAGGTAGGACCCAGGCAGCGGCTGACCTTGGCCTGCACCTAAGCACCTCTCAAGATGCACCAAAATGAGCACACCTGGTGGCCAGCTTCAGACCACACCAGAGCACCATCCAACCATCTCCACTATGACACACTCAAAAGGAAGACGGGGCAGGCATTAAAGCCCTGCTAAAGCAAATCCTGCTCCATAGGGTCAGCCCCCGCACAATAGCTCCTCCACTATAGTCACAGCCAGTCCTCACAACCAATCAGCCTGAGAGTCAATCCTTCCCACTGACATACCAACAGCAATCAAGGCTCAACTACAACAGGAAGGCACACACAACCCATACTAGGGATACACCTGGAGCACTCAGCTCAGGTGACCAGTAAGACTGCATCACTGGGCCCCACAGGACACCTACTGCATAAGGCCACTCTACTAAGAATGGGAGACATAGCAACTCTACCTAATACATAGAAACAAACACAGGGAGACAGTTAAAATGGGGAGACAAAGAAACATGTCCCAAAATGAAAGAATACAACAAAGCTCCAGAAAAATAATTAAACTAAATGAAAAGAAGCAATCTACCAGATACAGAATTCAAAACACTGGTTATAATGATCTCAGTGAAAACTTCAACAAAGAAATAGGAAACATAAAAATGAAGATAGAAAACATAAAAAAGAACCAGTCAGAAATGAAGAATACAATAACTGAAATGAAGAATACACTACAGGAAATCAACAATAGATTAGATGAAGCAGAGGATAGAATCACTGCTTTGAAAGTTAAGGTATCAGAAAACACCCAATCAGAACAGCAACAAGAAAAAAGAATCCAAAGAAATAAGGATAGTTTATGGGGCTTCTGGAACAATATCAAGCATACCAACATTCACATCATAGGGGTACCAGAAGGAGGAAAGAGAGAGCAAGGAATTGAAAACCTATTTGAAGAAATAATGACTGAAAACTTCACTAATCTTCCAAAGAAAATAGACATACAAGTCCAGGAAGCACAGAGAGCTCCAAATAAGATGAACTCAGAGAGGCCCAAACCAAGACACATCATAATTAAAATGCCAAAGGTTAAAGACCTTTTAAAGGGGAAACTCAAGAGAAACTCCCTCTCTTCCCCTCACTCCCCTTTGCTTTAATCACAAGCACTTAAAAGCAGCAAGAGAGGACCTGGTTCCATAGTGCAGCAGTTAGCACGTCTGCTTTACATGTAGAAGGTCCTGGGTTTATGCCCCAGTGGAGCCACGGTCCATGGTCTATGGCCATGCCACCCTGAACAAGCCCAATGTCCAATCTTGGAAGTTAAGCAGGGTCAGGCCTGGTTAGTATTTGGATAGGAGACCATCTAGAAAGACCAGGTGCTGTAGGCATAAATAATAATAATAAATAAAAATAAAACTCAACAGAACCTTCGCAGGCCAGAAGGCATTGACATGAAATATTCAAAGTGATGAAAAGCAAGGACTTACAACCAAGATTACCCTACCCAGCAAAGCTATTATTTAGAATAGGAGGACAAATAAAGAGCTTCCAAGACAAGAAAAAGCTAAAGAAGTTCACCAAATGAGTATTACAAAAAATGTTAGAGGGACTTTTTTAAGAAGAAGAAAAAAAAAAGATAAAAAATATCAATAGTAGAATGACAGTAACTACATATCTATCAACAATTACTTTAAATGTGAATAGATTAAATGTTCCAATCAAAAGACATACAGTGGCTGAATGGATAAGAAAACAAGACCCTTACATATGCTGCCTATAAGAGAATGGAGAGTGGCCACTATATTGGATGGTGCAGGTATAGAAGATTTAAATAATATAAATAATAAGATAGGTAATAGAAGTGAACTAAACT